GTCACGGAGGGAGAGGATGTGTACAGCACTGAAGCAAGCCTGGGAGGGAATTAATCACAGGAAGCAGAGGCTGAATGCTGTGCTGTAGAAGGATCTCCCTCAGTGAACAAGGACCGCAAAGCAGATAGCAGGACTACAGGTAAAGACAGACAGACGGAGCTGCTTGCAGTCTGAGACAGACAGACAGAGCTGCTTGCAGTTTATCTATTAAAAACAACACTAGGTACAGCCTTGGTGAGGATGCTGGAAGCAGCTGTGCCCTGGCTCCAGGGAGATGGGCCAGAAGACCCCCGTCCCTAACTCTTACGAGCCCGTGGTTTGGTAAAAGACTTACAGAAATCAGAGCCCGTGGGTGTTGGCTTGGCCAGGCTTTCACAAAGGCCATGCTCGTCCCTCCAAGGTTTCATGACTTTCTTCATCTTCCTGTTTCCCTCAGAAGCACGTCACATTGATCCACATGACTTCTTCAGACCTCTTTAAGCAGCCTAGTCTTATCAGCTGTTATGTCCGCAGTCCAGCTTACAAGTTGCATTTCGGAGCGGAAGAAAAGCCCAGGCACTTTTTTAAGACCCATGATAATGATGGAACAGGAAAAACCTTTTGTAAGGCACATTCGATGGAAAAGTGCTGAGATCAGCACAGTTTCAATCAAGGAAAGACTTATTTCCCCCCAGTCACCGCATCACACGGCCACTGAAATGATCTTCTATCCTCCTCAGACCAGAGGAAGGTCCCTGCAGGGTGTTAGGAGCTGGTGTCAAGAAAGAAGGTAGGGCTTTGTGCCTATTTTCTCTTATTCTGGTTAGTCTCACTGCCACCCCAAAGAGGCTGCAGACAGACTAATTACAGTGCTGCCAATGGCTGAGATTGGAGATCTATAAGAGGAATTAGGACCTGAAGTGAGTTAAACGGATTAGAGTTCAAGCAGGGAAACCCATTGCCCACACAGCAAATCAAAAAAGACCACAATGGGATGGCAAAGCAGCAGAGATAGCCCCAGAATAGCTGGAAGCACTAGCCTCGCCTGGTCTGGTCCTGCTCCAGGTGCTCTAGGGAGATGCTGGGCTTGGCAGGGATATGCCTACATGCATCTGAGCCTGTGCTGGAAGGACTGCTGAGATCTGCGTTCAGCTTTGCCTGATCAGAACCATGTAGCTGCCCTCCATCACCGTGACCCAGGCTGGCAGAGCTAGACATGGGAGGCCAGGAAGGCAGGGAAGCCCATGATAATGCACATTGCTATTAAACAGCCATCCTCTGATTTCCCCCCTTTATTTCCTCACACTTCAGGATCCCAAGGCTTAGTGAGCTAAGAGCTTCTAGGGTATTATACCTCCTGCTGCAACACCAGCTGGAACAACTCAGATGGGAAACTGGGGGAGGGACACAACATCCCAGTATGAACCATATGAAAGGCTTTCTTCTCTGTCCTGGACCAGTGAGGGCTGAATACCAGGTGATGCTGCTTAGTGCGGTGGTCCAGAACAGCAGTCTCCCAAGAGACCCATTACTGGAGACACTTAAAACTTAACTGCATAAAGCCTTGGAGAGGAAGCTGCAGGCAATGCTCCGGCCTTGCTAGAGGGCAAACATGATGCTCCGTTGGTGCCCAGCACTTACGAGCTCTGTGTAACCGTATTGCTGCCATAAACAGAATGAGGATATCAGCCTCTCTCCTCATTCCCCTTCTACCTCAGCTCTACTCTACACAGGTGGCCATGCTGCAGTTTCTCTGAGGGCCCCAGTCCCACATTAAACAACTGAAATAAATGGTGTTTCCATGTTCAGGTCCTAGCAGAGAAGACAGAAAAGGTCAGGATGCCCTGGGACTGCAGAAAGGCAACCTCTATGCTTGAGGGACCGGGTCCTAGAAGGCCTTTACCTAGCAAAAAAGCTCTTTCACCAGCTGAAGCCAATCATGCCTGGCCGGGGGTGTTCGGTGGTGAATATTGTGCTCTCTGGTGGTGACACACATATGTGCACAGGAATGTCAAAAGAGATTTTCTCTCACTATTAAAGCCACTCAGTATCCAGGTCAAAAACTATGATGCATTTTCAGCTTTAGGAAATCAAAACCCTCCTGTCTCCTTTTTCCAATATATTTTCAAAGTCATGGGTAATTCAAACCACCAGACGCTGCCTGACAGTGAGCTGCATGCCTCAGTCAGCAAAAGGAACCTGTCTGCTGTAACACTGAAGAAACTTTGGATCAAAAGGCTAAAGCTATGGATAATAAAAAGACTTCTCCTGTTTCTTAGCAAACCACCTTCCAGACTTCTGGGTCAGACGAAGCTCAGTGTGTGGCGACTGCTGTCCGTGGCCTTTGGCCTGAATAATCTTCCCCTCTTTCCAATTCAGACACATCCTACTATTACTGGACTTATTGGGTGGGTTGTTTTTTAAGAGGTTTTAGAAAACTATACCCCAAAATAATATCTAGCTGCTGATGGGTACCAGTGCCCAGCCTGTGCTGCTCTGTGGCACTCTTAGTTATGATGATTTTGACAGCTAGCTTCACAGGCAGGCACGGCACTGCAGGCACATAATATTGAAAATTCCTGTCCCTAGGATCTTACACTCAAATTTAGACATGAATCAGGGCTCCCAAACTGTGTCCAACAAAGCACCCCATTAACAACACAGCTGGGAACAGAGGGCCACATCTCACGTGCACAAGCATCCAACATGCCAAATAAACCCCCACCCACCCCCAGAATAGCTGCCTGTACTTGGAGCAATGCACTGAACGTGCCTGTGGTTTGTATCCACCAGCAAACAAAATCTGCAGCTCCTTGGCTCTGTCTTACCATGCAAAGAGAGGGACAGAATGACCATGGGCTGCCGGACAGGATGCCACATTTGACCCGAGGTTACACTTGGGGTAGGTGCCCACAAATTAATATTTTGGTTGCATTTGCTGCCTCCCAGGTTCTACTTCAGCCCTGTCTTTGTCAGGAATTTAACCAAGGACTGGCTCCCTTTACCTGAAAATACTCTTCTGGCTTTCTGAAGCTACTCCTCGTGACTAGATGAATCAGCTTCCTTAGTGAGAAAGCATCCCATGCAAGGCTTACCTCTCGTGCACTGGGTCTAGCCAGCGGCAGACTGGCACCAGGAAGGCTACCTGACAAAACCATCACAACAGCTTCAAAGCTTTTGGATCAGTTACCTGTTGGCGGTAACTGCCTGAGTTTCTATGGCAAATTCTATCCAGGCATGGTAACTTAATAGGCCATTCATTAGCAGGTTGCGCTATAGAGCATCCTGCAGAACAGGAGTACAGAGTGTGCTGGGAGGTACAGGAATGGTTTCAGCTGACACTGTCACCAATCTAGGAACCAAGAGAAATTTTTTCAGGCTCTAAAAACTTTAGCCAACTTGAAGCTAGTTTCCAAGGGGTGTATATGCCAAGCAAAAGGTGAGGAAGCAGATTACAGTGGACCTGCAAGGCAAGATGCTGCTCCCATCAGACACTGCAACAAACTCATCTCTGCTTTAACTCCAGAGGTTTACAGCACATACGACATCAGTTACTGAGGGGCACCTTGCAGCAACTGAGGTCCAACTGCTCCTGGAGATGCCCAGGGAGTTATCTCTGGGATCAGAAACCTTCAGAGAGGGAAGCACAAGTATGTGTTGGGAGCAGCCCTCCCTGCACTGCCCAGGTCAGAGGCAACTCCAATCACTTTCTGGTTTGTCCTTGTTTTACCACTCCACTGTTCTCAGCATGTTCCATTAAAAAAACAAAGTCAGCTTTAAACAGTTTGCAAGGGGTCATGGTGTCAGACTCCAAATACAGCCTGAGCTATCTGAAAGGAGGTTACTGGGGGAGCCCAAGTGATGGAGGCTTATCCAATTATATAACGACCAGCTGCAGTCTTTCAACTTTACCTTGTCTCGTGATTCTTGCCATATGGGGCTGGATGCTGACGCCCTTCATCTATCTGTCTGCCTTTCTTCTCAAAAAGTTGGCCCCAAGGGATTCTTTACGACTCCCTTATCACTGCACCCTAAACATTTGTCATGTTATTTCTCTCGCCTGCTCCCCGGATGTGCAATCTGACTCCCATTCAAGAAGAGTG